TCACGAAAAAACGTCATAGTTTAGTATGCCGTCCAAGAATTTTTTTAAAAACGGCGTAGTTTAGTATAACTTCCAAAATCTCGAAAAACGAGATAATTTTATATGGCGACCAAAATCTTGAAAAACAAGATGGTATCCAAAATCACAAAAAAAAAGAAATGGCGTCCAAAATAATGAAAGAACGACATGGCACATAAAATCAAAGAAAAATGAGATGGTTTCAAAAATCACGAAAAAACGTCATAGTTTAGTATGCCGTCCAAGAATTTTTTTTAAAACGGCGTAGTTTAGTATAACTTCCAAAATCTCGAAAAACAACATAATTTAGTAGGGCGACCAAAATCTCGAAAAACAAGATGGTATCCAAAATCACAAAAAAAAGAAATGGCGTCCAAAATAATGAAAGAACGACATGGCGTCTAAAATCATGAAAGAACATCATGGCACATAAAATCAAAGAAAAACGAGATGGTTTCAAAAATCACGAAAAAACGACATCTTTTTTAGTATGCCATCCAAGAATCTTTAAAAAACAGCATAGTTTAGTATAACTTCCAAAATCTAAAAAAACGACATAGTTTAGTATGGCGATCAGAATCTCGAAAAACAAGATGTTGTCCAAAATCACAAAAAAACGAGATGACGTCCAAATAATGAAAAAACGACAGTTTGGTATGCCGTCCAAGAATTTTTTAAAAACTGCATAGTTTAGTATAACTTCCAAAATCTCGAAAAACGAGATAATTTTATATGGCAACCAAAATCTTGAAAAACAAGATGGTATCCAAAATCACAAAAAAAAAGAAATGGCGTCCAAATAATGAAAAAACGACATAGTTTGGTATGCCGTCCAAGAATTTTTTAAAAACTGCATAGTTTAGTATAACTTCCAAAATCTTGAAAAACGACAGAATTTAGTATGGCGACCAAAATCTCAAAAAACGAGATGGTATCCAAAATCACCAAAAATCGAGATCACGTCCAAAATAATGAAAGACCGACATGGCGTCTAAAATAATGAAAAAAATCATATGGTACATAAAATCCAAGAAAAACGAGATGGTGTCCAAAATCACGAAAAAATAACATAGTAAAGTATGGTGTCCAAAATAATGAAAAAACGTCCAAAATCAAAGAAAAACGAGAAGGCGTCCAA